ACAATGAGAACCAGCTAAAAGTTTTTATAGTGGGAGGCTTGATCGACCGAAACAGATATAAAAATTTATGTTTTAGAAAAGCGCAGAAGCTCTCCTTAAAAACTGCTGCTTTACCAGAAGCGCTGTTTAAAAATTTCGATTCATGCAAAACGTTGACGACCAACCACGTTGTAAAAATTATTGTACTGATGTTGATGAAATGTTCATTGAGTGAAATAGCAAAGGGGGTTCTGCCTTCACGCAAACTTAAAGCATACAGCGAAAAAGACGAATTAAGCAATAGTTCAAATAAATAGTTTAAATTCTAGCATCTCCCATAAATAATTAACTATGGCGGGCCTTATAAATCATGTTATTTTGTTAAGATTATAATATCAAGTTTAATATTTAGAAATCATCTTTAGCATACAGCTACATTAATTTTGGTGCACAAGATTTGGCATGCAGTCAAATATCATTAATATTTCCATTAAAGACAACAAAAGTAGAGATAGACCAACAGAGACTCATTATCAACCTTATTCGCGGTTTGGTAAATCTTCTACGTACTCATCTCCACTTCTTGCAAAAAATTCGAACAATAATTCCAACGTTACAAAACAACAAACAGTCAGACAGACTACTTCGACTCAAGATCAACTAAACTTAAATCAATTAACCGTTAATAGACATATAATTACTACAGAGAAAAATCCTAAAACGCATAAATCAATATTAGCAATATTTCTCAACGCGTTGGTATCGAAATGCATTCCTCTTGTGACGAATTATCCGCCTTCAAGACAAATACACTTTGACAGCTTCGAAAGAAGCAGGGAACAAGCATTTATAGAATCAACAGACCGTAGTCAAAAATACAATTTGAGCCCCGTCAACGTGAAAGCGAGTCGCGAAATTATGCTAATTGCAAATCCTGGTCTAAACGATATGTTTCAGAACTGCTGCAATTCAATCCAATCTCATCAGCAAAATCATTTAAACTTGCCGGAATTTTGGTACACACACATAAACGACTCTTGTTATTCTAAATTGCTAGTAAACGAAAGCCAAACTGATTTGCCCGAGTTTTAAATTTTTTTTTATTTTCTTCGTTTTATAAATAGTTAAACCCTAACAAATAAATATTGTTATCCTCCTGCCGAGTTTAATTACAGTTTCCAATGAATTTAGAATGTTGTTATCATTCTTTAATAGCAACCTCTCTTGTTGAAGTTTCTCCTGAAACTGCTAACTCCATAGAGTAAGTAAGAAGCTGATATATTTTTTAGAGAGCTTGATAAGTCAGTAAAAGAAGTTGCAAAAACCTTTGTTTTAAATCTTTTGCATAAATTGCCAAGAGAAACAAACGAGCATGGAGTATTTGGAGTTTTACAACCCATTTGTGAACGTAAATTTGCTCTTCCGCGCGCTATGCCTATCCCGAAGACAGCGAAAAAAATGCACACGAAATGGGAAATTTTCGCTAAATCTAAAAGAATTGAAAAAGACCCGCGAAGAAGTCGACTTGTTTACGACGAAGTCGACAACGATTACAAGTTGAGATGGGGTACTAAATCAATCAAAAAAGCTGCTGAAAAGCGAAACATAATTTATGAGTATTCTGCTAATGAGGATTTTATGTCTAATCCATTCGACGAACAAAAAAAACAAAAGATGTATATGAAAAGTGCGCAAAAACTTCGTGAAATAAAAAATAAACTACGGGCTAACATCAGCTGTGAAAGTAGAACAAAGAGAACAGTAAAAAAACAAAAAAAGCGTTCTAAATAGTTTGTTTGCGGCGTAAAGAATTTACACAGATATATAAATTTATCCGTAACGCGGTCTTCGTTGCAAAAAACATTTGCGATTTGAGTCTGCGGCAGGAAAGCTGCATTTACATTCATTAATTCTTTCTTTGAGAAAAAATTTTATAAATTGTAAAAATATAAATATTTAAATTTTACAAGTGAATGAATGAATCAAAACCCGGAAAAATAAAAATTGACTCGATTAAAACGTTTTCTTTTACATTTCCTGAACCAAGTAATAATGTTTTAAGCCAGAAATGGTTCGTTTGCAAGGCAACGCAAAAAAATTATATTTGTCACATAAAAGACCGTTGGAAGAATCGTACGATACTTGACATTTTCGAAACTGAATTCCCCAAACGATCTAGAGAGTATTACAATTTAGCCATACAGCATAAATTACTTTTAGCTATTCGTCAAACACCCACATCGAACGATCTAAATTTAGTAATCAGCACATTTTTAAAAAAAAACATTGCTAGTCCAAATTTAGTAATCAAAGGTGACGAATCATTTATACACAGAACTATTTTATGCGAGCCGTGCGTTAATTTTGATAGTTTAGTTTATGAGCCGTTCGACGATAACATTCTGCTAGTTTACAAGCCTGCAGGGATTCCAATGTATCCTCAGGGTGAGCACGAACAATTTAGTTTAACCAAAATTTTACAAAGTTCAAGTTCTAATTTCTGTAATTACGCACCCGTGTTACGTTTAGATAGAGTCGTAGCCGGACTCGTGCCATTTTTAAATTATAAAAACAACAAGTCTAGTAATATTTTAAGTTTTTATTCGCTGAAAAAATATTACATTTGCAAGTGGCAAAAACCATTTCAAGAAGTCGTGAGAAATGCAAAGCGCAGCTCGAACAAATACGTCAAAATCATGAGCGATAGAATAATAGTCGTTTCTGCACCTATAAAGAAGTTTCAAATTCCCGGGTTTCCGTTATTTTCTCTTTGTTGTGAAACGGGCAAAGCTGCCAAATCAATTTTTGTAAAAATAAAAAACGACTATGTGTTGGCTATACCATTGACTGGTAGAACTCATCAACTTCGCGTTCACAGTGCTTACTTAAACTCCCCGATATTGGGCGAACAGCTTTATCTTTCCTACAATTTAGAAGCTAATGAATTTCTCGTTCAAGAAGAAACTATTGAACGAGCTACATACAAATTTGTTAAACATTGTCCGTTTGAAGATGACATACTGTATGTCGTAATTAAGTACAGCAGAAACGCAGAAATATTTGATTTCGTTTTAAAACACGACCTATTAGGATTTTTTCCAAAAATAATTCCAAATAAAATTTATCGGTTTGATACAGAAATAGATAACAAAGATATAGAGGCTACGTACCTATACCAAATCAATTTAGAAGACTGCTCACCAAATGTTTTATTATTTCCCAACTTGTCCATTTCGTCAGACAGAAAAATACTGTCATGGCATAGACTAGACACTACCTCTGAATTAAATTTACTTGCTTATGCATACAAAATTAATGAGATTTTAAAAATAGTCTCAAATTATCCAAATTGGCTTGATTTGTCCATAATTAGCTCAGCAAACGAAATTATATTAGAAAATGACTGTTATGAAATTGAGTCAGACATTTAATCGTTGTATCTTTCTGCGAAATTTGCATAAAGTAGATTATGTTTGTTGATTTTCGAATTTAATAAGTCGTATTTATTGCACGCTTTAATAGTTTTGTTATCCTCAGGCTCACTATCAGAATTTGAAATACATAAATTTATTTTTTTCCGCTCAGTCGTCAAAAGTTTGTTGTTTATATCTTTTTTGTCCGCGATTAATTCGTTTTCCAGAATTAATTTTAATGCATTAAAATCGGATAGTTCTTCTTGATTAGTCATTAATAGTACAAAAATTTAAAAAATTTTTTTTTTTTGCAATATTGCAAAATAACTATTAGTCCTGGTCTTTATTTGCTTCGAAAAATCTAAAAAATCAAAACCAACTAATTCTTCAACAGTAATTCGTTTCTCAGAGTCGCTGACCAACTGAATCAAAATTTCATTTGATAGTAAATTTTTTATATAATTTTTTTGAACTTCTAAGTTGTGTAAATATTGCTTATCCGAATTGTACTTATAATCTACTAATTGATCGCTAGAATTAAGTAAACTTTGCGCTTTAATGTCACTATTTGTCGTTTCAAACGCAGGTTTTATTATCACTTCTTGTTGATAATATTTTTCAATCTGACGTTGCCTTTCAAGCTTTAATTCTTCCGGAGCAAGTTCTGCTAAAAGGCATGAGACGAGGCGATCCAAATTAAAATCCCCTACAACTATGTCATGAAGTAATTTTTTATTATGAGGTCTTTTTAAATTGGAATATACTTCGAAAGCTCTTTGTTTGGCTTGCTTTTTGTTCTGATAAAAGGAAATTAGTCTTTTAGAAAACGACAAAGCTATTTCTGTTGCCACTGTCATTAAATCGAAAGAATCAATAATATTTAACTCATGCTTATTACAAATATTTTTTAATATTTCATTTACATTTTCAGCACTTTCGCTTATAGTTTGACTTAATTCTTTTTCAAAAAGCTCTGTAAATCGATTTATTATTAATTCCATACAAAGATAAAATGTATTAATATCAAAAAGAAGAAGAATTTTCGATTTCAATATTCTAGAATAAAATTCAACCTGATAAAAATTAAAAACTTAAAAAAATATTTAAATGACAACGGTGGGATTCGAACCCACGCCCATACGGACCGCGGCCTAAACACGGCGCCTTAGTCCACTCGGCCACGTTGCCAAGAAAAATTAAATAATAAGTAAGAGGTGGTAGCGGTTTGGCGGCGGTCATAAATTTTTGAAATTTTTACTTTTCGAAATATAAAACTAACTTTTTTTCAATTGATAGAGTGGCTTTGCATAATTCATAAATTACAGTTGTAAGGAACTAATAGTAGATTATTTATCAGAATATGTTTTTATAATTAAAGATTTTCTGGTAATCCTTGATATATTATTTTTTTTTCAAAAAAGTGCCAAAAAATTTTAAGACAGCTAGCTTTGAAAAAACAGAAAAACAACCATAAACAATCCGTAATAAATTACAGTTTGAATCTTTTTATTCTTGATTAAAAATTACTAATACATGGATAATAACATATGGAGTATAGACAAATTGAGTTATGTTTTATTAGGCAAGAATATTAATATCGTTTATAGAATGGAGGCGTTATTTCATGCACGATATTACAACAATTCCGATGTTGCCAGCATTCTAGTTAAAGCCTTGCAGCACAAGAGTGTTTTATTAAAGCACGAAATAGCTTATGTACTTGGTCAAATGTCCGTAACTAACGTGAAAAATACTTTGATTGATTTATGTAACGACAAAAGTCAACATGAAATGGTAAGGCATGAAGCTGCTGAAGCTATACATGCACTAGGGTTTACAGACGAAGAAACTGAAGCTTGTTTACGACAACATCTTAGCGATGATTCTATTCCTTTTCGTCAAACCGTCGAACTAGCACTAGAAGGATTGTTATTGAAACGTAAAAGTAACTCTGAAAAAAAGATAAAACCACATGTACCGAGATTTTATTTAATGACTAAAAAAAAAAAAAAGCAAGATCTTGTTATCGCTACTTATAATACAAAAGATCCGGTAGAATCTGATATTTTAATTCAAACTGAAAACGAACTTAAAAAACATTTTAATATTCTCAAAGATGAAATGCAACGTCTTTGGGATAGATATAAAGCTTTGTTTGCATTGAGAAATCACGATTCGAAACAAGCGGCACTTTATTTAGCAAGCTGTTTGGATGAAAAATCGAGTGCTCTTTTGCGTCATGAAATTAGTTTTATACTCGGCCAGATGCAGATACCAGAAACTGCTCTCAAGCTTATTGAACGACTTCAAGATAAAAATGAATTTTCAATGTGTAGACACGAAGCTGCAATCAGCTTAGGTAGTTTAGGAGCAATTGATTACACGGAAATCGGTCGCTATTGGCAACCTAAAATTATAGCTGAATTGAAGAACTTTCTAAATGATGAAGATCCAATTATCAGCGAATCCTGTCAAGTTGCGTTATTTAACATTCAGAATGAATGCAACTTGCAGCTACTTCCTAATTTAGTTCCTTTATAAACATCATGTTACGGCTTCACAAAGCAAATCTCCCTTTTTTGCCTTAATGTCGTATGACTAAAAATCTAGAGTTTTTGGTTATCACTAGAAACTTAAAAATAACGCTACTATTACATGATACATTTGAATTGTATACTAAATTATAATTACAATATAAAATTTTTCATGTGTAATACCGTGATAATAATATTATGAGATTTTCTGAGTTTGAAACAATAAAACGTTCGATTCAAACATTGTGATTTACATTCTAAATTTATTTTAGCGAATATATCAATAACATAACTAATACGCCGTTTCACTATAATTAATAAAAGTTCTTTTATTCAAAATTCAATGACTAGTTTTTAAGTCACTCCCAAATTTTTATGTTTTACGCTATTAACGATAAAGCTATATATATTTTGTAATAACTTATTAGCATAATACACTTCGCGATAACGTAAAATAAAATATTAGCATAGATTTGAAGCTATAATTTAAAGCATGCCGAATATGACCTTTTGCACCTATTTAACCTTTTTATGGAAGGCATTAAACCAAAAGAAATTAGGCTTTCTGTGCAGAAATGGCGGGAATTTTACATTGAAAATAATCTATTAACGCATAAGATTAAAAAACCTCAAAATGACAGCTCGTACAATAAGCTGATAGAGAAACAGTTTATTAAAGCTAATGGGTCAATCGAACCAATATTTCAACACAAGCTACAAGCTTCTTCAAATATTTTAGATCATAAGACTAATCTGACAGACGATTTGATCAAGCTTTTCACAACTAAGAAAATAAGCGAACACAACGACGCTCAAAATATAAATAACTTATTTTGCATGAGCAATACATCTTGGAAAAGAACTAAAAAAATAGTTCCACAAATAAGAAATAACTTGTCATCCGACATAAATCTTAGATCTCTTTCAATTAATGGTTCGAACCTAGCTCAAGACAGTCGATCGCGATTTAAACAAATAAGAAGGAAGCAGCACCCGGGCTTTTCCAGTTTTGATTCCATTCAATTCCAAAACAAAATCAATCAAATTGAACAATTAGACCTTTTAGAACCTGATTCTGAATTTGAAGCTTGCACAATTGACTCTTTCAAATACAAAGATGAAGATACGGTTCAAGAAAATTTATTTTGCAACATAAACAATAGAATAGAAAACAGATCATTGCAAAGCATAAATAATATTAAGCATATTAATGAAGAATCTGAGTTTTTTCAACAACTTTAGCTACAGCTCAATTAATCTTGTTGATTATTAACTTTTTTTATAATTATCACAGCCGAACGAAAAATAAGATAAAAACAATAATGCGCGCGCACTACGGTTTCACAGTTCAAACAATTTTTTATTGATCAAAATATAAATTTTTAATCAAGAAAGTAAACTTTTAAGCATACATATAAATTCAATTCCTTTTTTACATTGAATTTGCGGTACGAACTCACAAAACACAGCTTATTTAATTAAAACACACTAAGCAGTTATCAAAATTTAACATGGAGAATTATAAATTTTGTAACCGTTCAGTTTCTACAGAATTTTCCGATATTCAATCATTTCGTTTCGAATGGAACCCAGTGTTGCCAGAAGCTTTAAAAACTCATGTATGTGACATCGATTATTTAGACGATGAATTTAGTATTGATGCTAATGTAGCTAAACTTTTTCCGAACACTTATAAACAAAAATCTGTACAGTTCGTAAAAAAAAAACAACAAAAAAAAAACACGGATAAAGCGTTAAATGTAGCCGTACTTTTTTCAGGAGGTCAAGCGCCTGGAGGTCATAATGTAATATTAGGAATTTATGATTTTCTAATGCAGCACAATAACGAAAACAAATTATATGGTATATTAGGTGGTTCTAAAGGTTTGTTTACTAAAAGTTACATCGAACTAAACTTGGAAATTATTTCTAAGTATAAAAATGGTGGTGGTTTTCATATGATCGGATCTGGTCGTGATAAAATCGAAACCAGTGACCAACTTCAAAAATGCTTAGAGCTTGCAACAGAGCTTGATTTAGATGGCATTGTTATCATTGGTGGAGATGATTCTAATACGAACAGTGCTATTTTGGCTGAATTTTTTGCTAGTAAAAAACATAAATGTGTCGTTACTGGAGTGCCAAAAACTATTGATGGAGATCTAAAAAATCAGTACATAGAATGCTCATACGGATTTGACACAGCTTGTAAAGTTTATAGTGAACTTATTGGCAATATTTCGTCTTCGATCCTTACTACTAAAGACAAATATTGTTTTGTTAGATTAATGGGACGATCAGCATCAAATATATTACTAGAATGTGCTCTTAGAACAAATCCTAATTTAGCTTTTTGCAGTGAAGAAATTAAAGCAGAAAATCGAAGTTTAGAAAATATTGTTGATGAAATCGTAGATTTAATGGTGGAACGTCATAGGATCCAAAAAGATTATGGTTTAATTTTAATAGCAGAAGGTTTAGTTGAATTTATCCCTGAGATTAGTGTTTTAATTTCAGAATTGAATGAACTTCTAAATAACGATAATTCAAATTTTGATAAAAACCAATTAACTCCAGAATCCTTGAAAATTTTCGACTTTCTTCCAGAACAGATAAGAATAGGTTTTTTAGCTGATAGAGATGGACATGGAAACGTCCAAGTTTCAAAAATCGAAACAGAAATTCTTTTAATGTTATTAGTGGAAAAAAAACTAAAAAAGCAACATAAAGACTTCGATCTTAAATTTTCAACACAATTTTTGGGTTATGAAGGTCGATGCTCAATGCCTTCTAATTTTGATTCGAATTATTGTTATTCGTTAGGTTACGTTGCTGGAAACATTGTTTTTAACAGATTAAACGGATATATAACTACACTTAGTGACTTGCATGAACCAGCAGAAAAATGGAACCCAAAGGCCTATCCATTAATCAAAATGATTAATCTTGAAAAACGAAAAGGAAAAAACGTTCCAGTTATAAAGAAATATTTAGTAGAATTAGACGGACCTTGCTTTAAAGCTTTTGCCCAATTAAGGAAAAAATGGAGATTATTCGATTCGTACGAATCACCAGGTGGAATTCAATTTGAAGGCCCAAACGTCAATGACTGTCTTTACTTGGTCAATACCAAATTACTTGAAGATATAATTAAGAGAAATGAAGAGAAGATTGATGGTTTTATTACATCATCTTTATTAAACCAACGAAGAAAAACTCAGATTCAGATTCATCCAAAGCTCTATTCTCCAGATTGCGGTACAAAATTATTACAGCAATGCTCTGCTCCCAGTGATAGTTGTACTTGCAGCACTCGATATTTAACGTTTGATATTATGGCAGGTCAAAAATCTAAGTTAAGGAATCAATGTTTTGCGGTTATACATTTAGATATTCCGGCGTCTGGTTCAACCAATGTCTTAATTGGAATATACAGACGCGCGCAGCAAATTGGCAATTCTGTAAAGGTATTTAAAACTATTGATGACATATTCGAAAATAATTACACAACTATTGATTCGACTTTTGCTGTTAACTATAACAATACAGGCACATACCCTATCTCATATACTCAATATGATATGTCAAAATATTCTTCAAATGAAACACTTGAAAAAATTATAAAGTCATGTGAAACTAACGATTGTTCTGCTTTAATTATTTTAGGAGGATTAAATGCAATGGCTATGGCATTGTTATTAAATAACTGCAAAAATAATATCAACTCTAAGTTATTAATAAATGCAGCTCCCGTTAGCTATTCAAATGATATACACAACGACTTTGTTGAGTTAGCTGTTGGTTACAATTCTTATACTAAAACACTGGCTCAGGTTGTAAGTAGTTTATGTATCGATTGTATTTCTGCTAAAAAATATTGGTTTTTAGTAAGTGTAGAATCTGGATTAGTTTCCGATATTATGGTGGAAGTAGCTCTTCAGTGTCATCCAAACATTACTATTTTGCCAGAAAGTTATTTACAAAGACCAAATTCTTTTGAACAAATAATCACAGATATAACAGATATTATAATAGAACGAAGCATATCGGGCCAGAATTACGGTGTAATTTTAACGAGTAATTCAATCGAATCGTTTTTCCTGGAAGACTCCAATAGCGTGATCATGCAAATTTGTAAGAGTGATGATATAGATGAAAATGATTCCGACACAATTGATTTCTTATCTTATAAATTGTCCTTGGCGAAGATCAAATATTTGTATAACAAAAGATTAGGAAGATTTAACGTGGGAGAGTTTATTCTTTATTTAGTTTCAGAAGAAATTAAATTACGAAAAGAACAAAGTGTAAAATTCAACTATTTCACCTTCGCATACTTTGACGCTTTGATCAATGCAATACCTTCTAATTTTGATTGTACATTGGGATTAACGAACGGATATTTAGCGGGAATTTTATGTGAAGATGGACAATCTGGTTACATTACGTCTTGTCATAATATGTCAACATCGATAACCGAATGGAAGCATTTAGCTTTGAGCTTGCGATGTTGCAACAATATTGTGGAACATTCAATGAAATTAAAATCTTGTTACAATAAAGTAGTCAATGTTATCCGTTTATCAGACAGACCGTCCTTAGCTTTTCTTCGCAGCATGGATCAACGTTTTTCATTATCAAATTATTATACACTCTGTGGTAGCATTCAATTTTGTGGTAAAATGGGATACACATGTCCATATACTTATTGGTTTGATTACAACGACAAATATGAACTTTATTCGCAGTTAAGAGAGATATTAAAAAATATTCAGTACCTAACTTTACTTAAATATAAGAACGATAATTCAAGATTCCATAAATTAGTTGCTGAAGAATCTGAAATCTTACAAAAACTTAAAGATAACAATTTATAATTTCTAACATTTATTTATGAGGTGTTTGAACAGTCGACAAAAATTATTTCTGATTTTTCATTTTGTAAAAAAACGTATTTTTCATTATAACCAATTAAAACACAGTTTGGACGTACAGTATAATCATTGCAATTTCTTGTAAGTTTTCCTTCTTTTTGATCATAATTTATTAAATTAAATAAATGATATGAATCTACAAGAAACTGATTGTTTATTGGTGCCTGAGTCATAAATGCAAGTGACATATTTTGTATATCAACAACAAATATGTAACCATTCTGTGTTTGAAACCAAACTATCGGTTTTATAGAGAACTGGGATGTATTTGACAACCAAAAAACGATATAATCTGTGCTTGTATGGTTAATAATTTTATTATCATCGATGAAACAATTTAGAGCCAATAGCTCACATACCGATAAAACGATGGCTCTTGAAACACCCAGGGGTCGTTTTTCTATTTTTACATTAGTTGTTTCCGCCAACACTCCATTTTTTTCTGCGTTGAAAAAAAACCAGCGACAATTACTTAGATTTAGTCCTAAGTTTCCAAACTGAAGTTCATTATGGTTTTTTTTTATATATATATCTTTATTATTTTGAAAATCTATTTTGATTTCATTTAGTGAATTAGGTCTGATTTTTTTAAGGTTTAAATAATTATCGTTAGGATTTGGTAATTTAATTTGTGACCATAGTTTCTTGAGCCAAGACGATTCGTTGCATGTATTATAACGCCAAATTTCATCAGAACTACACGCTGTGAACAAGTATATATCGCTATTTATAACCAACTCTTTATCGCCGTTATAAAAATATCGCTCCAAACTTATTTCAATCGAATCAAACTCTGGCACACTAACTATCATTGACGAAAAATCTTCAAACTTCAGATACAGATAGGTTCCTAGAATATTGTAATTACTAATACAAGCTTCTTCAATATTATTATTTTCTTCTAAATCTAACAAACATGAAAGCTTCATATTTTGTTCAGTATTTTTCTTTTGTTTACTTATTTCTTTAGAATTAAATAATGTTCTAAAATCTTCAAAAATTTTTTGTCGACTTATACTAGAACTAAAAGTTTGATATTCAACAGATCGTTTTAAGTCTTCAATGTTTATAAGATCATTATTTTTTTTTTGTATATCATCTAAGCTTACAAAGTTATAATTTTCCTGTTCAGATAATTTAAGCTCTGTTTTATCAATAAAATCACAGTTTTTACTGCCTTTAGTTTTTAGATTATTGTCACACAGGGAAAGAATAAAAACTTTATTTACAAAGTTGACTTTTTTAGAACATTCTGATTTCCCCATAAAAGTTAAAGATAAATCAAACAAATATAAAAAAGTCGGTTCTGCGCAAACAATATATAAATCTTGTTTCAGCGAAATAAACTTGACAGAAATAATGTTACCATCTACATCGGCAGATGATCGACTTACCGTCGGCTCTGATGAAGAACTTAGTTTATAACGTTCATGAGTTAATATATTTTCTTTAAACTTTATTATATGAACAATTGTTGCCTCATTTTTACCAATGTTTGAAACAAAAATATCTGTTAAATACATAATCAACCCATTTTCGCAAAAAAAAAAATAATTGATTAATTTTATATAAAATAATATATTTAAAATAATAATCAACCAATTAATCATATCAATCAAATCTAAATTTTCTGTTAAATTGTTGTGAACGAACGTGATGAGTTTTAAGTAGTTTTTTTATTAGTTAAAATGTCCAACTACCAATGTTATGATCCTGTAAAAGATATCAGATCGGAGTTAATTTCCTATTGCAAAGAAAACAATATTTCTGCTTTTAGAAAAACAGCGGAAGAACTATTTGTAACTCACTTAAATGATCTTTCCATTTTAGAAGACACGTTGGTTCTTCATTTATCTGTGTGGTTCAACGATCAAGAATTGTGGATGAAGGCTATAGAACTTAATTGCTCACCATTTCACGCAGACAACTTAGGTGATACTGCTTTGCATTATGCGGCTAGATCTTTGAACATACAGTTTATACAATTTGTAGCTCAGAGATATGGATTTCATACTCTTTACGTTTATAATATAAATGCTTTTAATATATTAATGACAATTTGTAGCGAAGCTCCAGATCATGACGCTAATAGAATTTTGTTTTTACTTGAATGGCTATATTTACAAGGATTTTCATTAGAAGATATTACTATATATGGACAAACAGCGCTTCAACTGGCCATCTCGAGAAAATCTCTTATTATTGTACAATGGTTACTGTCTCATCAGGCCCATATAGGGCACAGAGACCTGCAATTTCGCTCGGTTTTACACACTGTTGCTGTTACAGGCACAACCAATATGCTTCCTTTACTACTAAAAGCTGGAGCACGACCTTTATTAAATAGCGTTTCCATAGATTATACGAACGCCACACCTGCTATATTAGCATATAAAACAAGAAACTACAAAACATTTTTAGCATTTTGTTTCATACAACTGTTTGAAAGAATGAGTTTTAAACTTCAGTTTAAAAGTATTTTTGGATTTATTGGTTTTTTATACTTCACCTTGATGTACGTATTACTTCCGCTGATGTCGCTCAAAGTAGCTAGGCTTGAAAAAAAGTTTTTTTGGTATGGCCTAGGAATTAAAAAGTTTTTAGTTGCATCTTTGACCTATTATTCGTATTTATATATAAAAAACAAACCTCCAATACAAGCATCTGAATTTAAAAAAAAAACTTATTTTCAAAAAGTTAGTCCTAACATACAAACTGAGCTTGAAAATTATATTGATCGCGAGAAACAATACACTACTTACTCGAATAGTCATATAATCGGTTTAATACAGAAAGAATATGAAATTAAAAAACTCGTCATCAACTTCAACAATGGTGTTTGGCGCGATTCTCAAATGTCTGATAGTGAAATTGAATATGGGCAAAATATGTTTTTAAATGAAAGAGATGCTATTCGAGAGCAAATGCGGGTCATAGCCAAAGATATATTTTCTGAAAGATGTTCACTTCTTGATAAGGATTATATTATGAAAATTTTACCTGCTGATGAGCCCAATAAGGGTCTTTGTTATACTTGTAAAAGCGAGAAGAACTGTCGGGCCAAGCATTGTACTGATTGTGGTTATTGCATCGATAAATTTGATCATCACTGCACTTGGTTAGATAATTGTATAGGCTTAAATAATCAAAGAGCGTTTGTTTTCCACTTGTGTTGTCTGCTATATTATCAGAAACATTATTATGAAGTTTTTTTTAAATTGATAAAAAATCTGTTTTGGGCATCTCATGACAAAAAAAAATTAATGATAAAGCACAGTCTAGGAATGTTAAAAATATTTAAACTTCCTTATTTCTACTATTTCGTAATTGTAATATCGCTTATCAACACATTAGTAACTACTTTCACCATTTACATGACTTTACGAACATTCAGAGCTATGGTAACAGACGTGACTTTCTATGAAACTGTTCGACCTGGATCGCATATATTTTTACGTTTCAAGAATTCAATCAAAAAAAAGTATTTTTGGGATTTTTCGGATCTATCAATCATTGGAGCTATTTTGTAAGTTTATTAAAAAAAAACTATTTAGGAACATTATTTACTTTCTGTTGCAATCTTCTTATCGAAACATTAAAAATTATTCAGAATCTTTGTGGCTAAGTCATCAAAATAAACTAGATTGGCAAAATCAGTTCTATTTTGACAATAATAGTTTAGGTTGGAAAATAAATAACTTTGGAAATTACAAACCTTCGAGTTACTTAACAGTAAGTGGACTGGATCACAAAATCTACAATAAATACACTTATAATTATTAAAAAAGTGAACTATCGAAACATGCATATATATATAATTAAAGTAACATATTACTTGTTTTTTTGTTATAAGAATAATAATTCAATGATTCATAAATAATGTCTTCTTCATCTTTATCTGAATTATTTTTTTTAAATTTCGTGTCATTTATATACATCATAAATGGAATTGCTAAGTCAATTTGATCTTTAATCCAAAGTGATTGAACGATTTCAATTTTGTTAAAATAGTCGTAGCACGACAATACTAAAGCACAATAGTAACAAATACTATCGTATTTAAATAACAATTCGGAAGCTATTGATCGAATTACTTCCGCATTTTTACTATCAATAGCAATTAAAATAGCAGCCTCGAAATCGTAAAAAAACATACAAATTTCAAATGCTTTGAGATATTCTTTTTTAATTTTATAAGCTAGTAGCATTATTTTCTTTGCTACCATACTACATGTTTGTGATAGCAATTCGATTAGCTTACTTAAATCAAAATTTTGAAATATTTCGATTGATTTTTCTAATTTTTCGAAATCGTAAAGATTAATGTACAATTCGTTTAATATGTCATTTATCATAGTATCGTTCGTATTATATTTAGCTTGAATTGATTCAAAAAATCCCAAGCAAGAACCGATCGGACTGTGTAACAACGATTTGTAAGTTCTGATTTCTTGATCGTTGGTTATTAATGAAATCACGGAATTTAATTCAACGGAGTTTGTCAGTTGTCTGAAAAACTCAGAAACTAAATTTGGGTCTTGTTTAATAAGTAAAACTAAAGTTTTATATATCAAAGTAGCGTCTTTTATATGCTGAATCAATTCTAATACTTTGATCGTATCCCAACATGAGTTTGGATGCTGTAAAATATAATCTAAAGCTTGTTCGTGTTTTTCCGATAAAATTAACAAGTTAACTAGTTCTTTCCAAAGTTTTCGTTTGATAAAACTTTCTTCTATCATTGCAGTATTCAGCGATTCGATGTTTTTGAAAACATAAAGTTTGAAGAATGAATCTAATTTCTGAGGCTGAAGTTCGGCGTACAAAATCACTAATTCATTAACTAAAGCTTCGTTTAAATTTTCGTTTATTACGCATTTCTCTAAAATCTTGATAAGATCTAGTTCTCGATCGTGCGTTTTATATATATCTATGAGCTGGTTGAAATATATCCTATTATTCATTAATTTCTTCGATATTTTGTCTATTATTAACCAATCATTATTTTCGATTGCTTTATCTATCAACAAGTCAATTGTTTTTTTGTCATTATGCTCGATTGCCAAATCAGCTGCTTCATGAAGCCGAGAAAGATTCAAATAACATATCGACAAGTCATTTTTGATGTTAGACTTTTCTAAGAATATTGTTGCGATTTTTGAGTACTTGACTATTTTAACTTCATCTTTTTCTCTAGTGGCCATATTTAAAAAAGTTTTACCTAAGTTGCTAGTGTTAACAACGGTTGAATTAGAAACCAAATAGGATAATTCATCGAGTTTGTCCAAATGAGCCAAACAAATTGCGTATTCGTTGTCGTAGAAATTATTCTTAGTATTACAGACAGTGCTCAAGTAATTGTAGATTAGTTCATATTGTTCTAGATCTAAAATTTGTTGAAGTATGTTTTGAGGAATTAGTTTTGTATTCGAATTTCTGTACGCAGTAATTAAATATTTGTAATCATTCAAATTTTTATTGCTGTAGTTGACAGAAAGAATGACTTCGGTTAGTTTGTCAGCATAAAGTTTCCAGATGTCTTCTCTATTGATTCGAGTTACGTAACTATATATAAAAGATGAGTCGTCACAGTACTGAAACAAAATATCTAAAGCTTTCTCAGGTTTTATCTGTGTATTTAATACATTGGAAATATTTTCGTATTGCTTTGATTTCAACATTTCAATCATTATCTTATTTTTAGAGGTTTCAATATCTATCGTTGACATCAGTGCTTTTAGCTCATTGGGTTTTTGTAAACTAACTAGTTCTATGAAAATGTTGACTAATTTTTCGTTTTTCATTATCACGGAATAACAGTAGTTGTTGGCTTTTTTTTTCTGTATGATAGCATCGAGTAAAATGTACGCGTATTCTGTCAAGCCCAAAGAATAAAGTTTAAAAACTCCATCAACTAACACAGTTGGATCGTTGCAATTTTTCAATGTAAATGATATAAAGTGATTGAGTAGTTCGTTATTATACTTAGTTTTCGTCGAATCAGAAAATGCCAACTCCCAAAGTGCACTAAATTTAGGATTAAGTAAACATCCAGCTAAATAGCTTTGCATGTTATTTGAACTAGAAATTCTGTATATCTCGTCGACAGCATCTATTTTCTCGTATGCTATGAGAGCTAAAGTCAAATTCTTTTTCTCTGCATATTGAGCGATGGATAGTGGATCGTAGACTTCATTACTACGTAAAAACAACTCGGGAGCTTTGTTTAGATGAATGTACACCTTAGCTAAAAAGTTGGCTAGTTCTTTGTTTTCTGAATTGGAGTAAAGTTTACTTTCTGCCCAATCTAGCAAAATAGAAAAATATTCTTCTTCGTTGTATATTTTTAGTATTTCATCGGGTGAACAAACTTTAGAAGCGGCATCTATGCTTTTTGTTAGTAAATTAGGCAAAATAGTTTGTGTTTTTAACGTTTTCAAAATATTCAAAACAGTTTCCTTGTCACCGGTTTGAATTAAGTTGACAATGTTTGAGTAATCAGAAATTTTTACTAGAAGTGTTATTAAATCTGATGTGAACTTGTATTTCATGTAAAATTTTACCAACAAAACAGAAGGAACATTATTCTTAGATTCTAGCAGTGTTTTGATTTCCGAAATGTTAATTAACCGATCGGATTGAATAATATCTGAAGCTGTTTCCCAATTGTTATTGTTCACTACGAATTCTAGGTACAACGTATTAGTCGTTATGTTATCGTGGTTCGAGGAAACATCTTTTAAAAATTCCAAGTAATGTGATCTGTTCAAATTAGCGTCTAAAATCTTAAATATACTATCGACGTCGAACCTATCAATATTCTTCGCAATACAAGCTAATAAAATACTGATTACAGGAGAGTTTTTATTAAATACGATTTTTAGCACTTTATTGATCTCATCTGTAGTTAATCTCTTGACCGCTGCTTCAATTACATCTGCAGAATGATTGGGTGAAGAAGTAATAATCTCTATTAGTTTAAAATTATCAGTGCAGAGAGTAGCTGCTTCTTTAGTTAAGCCATGACTTAAACACAAATCTGATACTATATCTCTATCAAACTTCGTTAAGATCGAATCACTTAACAAAAGCTGAGCAGCTCTCCAATTCGTTTTAAACGCATTAGAAATCAACTCGGTTTCAATCTCAACTTGTCGTGGATAAGATCCTGATTTCGCTAACTCGGAGAAAACTGTTGCAGCTTCAAATTTAAAATTTTTTGCTAGCATTAACTGAAGCAGCTCGTATTCAGATGAAAAAAATAATTTGTTTTCTAAAGCTATTGTAATGAACTTTGGCAAATTAGTCAGATTGAGTTCAGATACATTGCATATCAACTTGGCAACGTCAATATTATCTTTGTTCTGAGTTAAGTAATTTATCAGATCTTCACGATTTCCATCCTTTAAGCAAGCGACAACAAATTTTTCGTGACTTTTAGAATATCGATAAAATCGTTTCGCTAGTTCAGGATCATGAGATAAAAGAATGTCTCCATAAATTTTGTCAGCCTCAAGCTTGTTTTGATCTAAAAATTCCGTTATTAAAACAAACTTTTTATGTGAAATTATAGCTTCCAACAGATCTAAAAATTCGTCAGTACTAAATTGACATTCTTTTTCAAAAATAATTTGATAATACGTATGAATCGCAGATTTTATATTCTGATCTTGTAAAAACGTCTTAAACTTATTGATATATTCTTTTGTTCGCATAGCCTTAGTTTTTGACAAAACGCAAATTAATGCGGCATCGTAAATTTCATTTGAGAATAATTTTTGATTGAAGATTTCAATATTCTTTGTAAGAGAGTCAGGATAGTTATAGGTTAACGATAAAAAGCTAGCTTCTTCTGCAGAAAGATTATTCTTTGTTTTATTTATTACTTCCGTGGGATCGAGTTTTAAGTATAATAGTTTGCCATTTGCAGTAACTACGCAAATTTTGCTTGTATTAGTGATAATAAACGAAAAATTAACATTCTGTTTAATATCGATTTGATCGATCAGTTTTCCTGAATGAACATTGAATATCGTAATTAAACCATTGATGGAGACAGCAATTAGTAATCCCCATAAAGTAAGGTGATGTAAGTTTATAAAAATGTCATTAAGAGACAAATTGTTTCTGCTCACGGCTGTTTTATAATTAAACAGAGCTGTATCATTTTCGCCTTGTTTATATATATCAGTAATATATAAATATTTATCTCCATTTGGTTCTTTTCTGATAAAAGTGATAAACTTCTTTTGTTGATTTTTATAGTTAAATTCACTAAATGTAACACACTCAGCATCAAAAGTTTCTGAAAAATTTGTCTTAGCTGAGTATAGCTGTGCTTGCGATTTCAAACTGTTTGACTCTGAATAAGTAACGGTAACTGTACATAAATTTATGTCGTTTTTAGAATCTACCTCATAAATTAAATATTTAATGTCCAACTGTGAAAGTTCTAAAGTGATATCAAAAAACTTAGATAAAAAGGAGTTATCTGGATCTTTACAATTCCAGTGGTAAACATATTTTTCCGTTACAACCACAAGTAAATCAAAAAATTTCCAAGTACAAAGTAAAATTTTATCTAAAAATTCATGTTCAAAAATTAAAACCTTATTTTCGATATTAAACACTTGTAACAGCTGACTGTTTTTCACACTTTCAGATTTATTTGCTATGCAAATAAGAAAGGGAGCAGAATGATGTTTAAGAAGCATAGACACTTTTGCTGAGCTCTTTGACTCTATCTCCAAATTATCGTAAAGGTCAATAAAGTTGAAGGAAGTAGCTTGCCCATTTGAAGCAGATATAGTTGTAAGAAATCTGTCTCCTGAGTACTCTGCTCGATTATAGATTGACCCATTTGCTTGAATAGACGACAACTACAAATAACTCGGTGAATGACTTACATCTATTGTGTTATAAACGTTCAAAGATTCCTTGAACATAATGTAATCTAATGTAAGCTGAGTGAATGTTTAGAAATGCTAAGTTTTTTATTATAACTGATTAAAATTATAATCGTAACTTACTTAAATAATCAATTATTTTAAATTGTGAAAATAAAACAAAATTATAAAAAAATAGCGTAAGTAATACAAAAATAAAAATAAAATTATTTATTTCTTGGATTTGGAAGAGTATTCTTTCTTCTCAACATCCTTGATTACACCAACACCAACAGTTACTCTCATATCTCTGACAGCGAATCTACCAAGTGGTGGGAATTCAGAACAAGATTCGACACACATGGGTCGGATTGGAACCATTTCAACCATAGCAGCATCGCCAGATTTAATGCTTTCAGGGTTTTCTTCCACAACTTTGCTTGTCCTTCTGTCAATCTTAGAAAGAAGTTTTTGGAATTTACAAGAGATGTGGGCGGTATGGCAATCAATAACTGGAGTGTAACCAGCCTTGATTACACCTGGGTGTTGTACGACGATGACCTGAGATACGAAAGAGATAGCTGGCTTAGCTGGGTCGTTCTTGGCATCAGAAGCTACGTTACCACGTCTGATATCCTTGACAGATACATTCTTGACGTTGAAACCGACGTTGTCACCAGGAATAGCTTCAGGGACCTGTTCGTGGTGCATTTCGACGGATTTAACTTCAGTGCATACTCCGCTTGGGGCAAAACATACAGTCATGTTGGGGAGGATTTTACCAGTTTCGACACGACCGACGGGAACGGTTCCGATACCACCAATTTTGTAAACATCCTGAAGTGGAAGTCTAAGAGGTTTGTCAACTGGTCTGGTAGGTACATCCATTTGATCAAGAGCTTCTACAAGGGTTGGTCCTTTGTACCAAGACATGTTAGAAGATTTTTCGAGCATGTTGTCACCAACGAATCCGGATATGGGAACGAATGGTACCTTGTCTATGTTGTAACCTATTTTTTTAATGTAGTTGCCTACTTCCTTCTTGATTTCTTCGTAACGAGAGGCTTTGTACTCAGCGGCATCCATCTTGTTGATGGCAACAATCATTTGTTTTACACCGAGAGTGAAAGCGAGTAATGCATGTTCACGAGTTTGTCCTTGTTTGGAGAAAGCACCTTCGAAACCACCAACATCAGCTGGAACAACAAGAAGAGCAACATCTGCTTGAGAAGTACCAGTAATCATGTTTTTGATGAAATCTTTGTGTCCCGGGGCGTCAATGACGGTGTAGGAGTATTTAGGAGTTTCAAATTTCCAAAGAGCGATATCAATAGTAATACCACGTTCTCTTTCAGCCTTCAACTTGTCAAGTACCCAGGCGTATTTGAAAGAACCTTTACCCATATCATTGGCTTCTTTTTCGAATTTGTCGATGGTTCTTTGGTCAATACCACCAAGTTTGTAGATAAGGTGACCAGTAGTGGTGGATTTACCAGAATCTACGTGTCCAATAACGACGAGATTGATATGTTGTTTTTCTTTACCCATAATTAATGATTGATAAAATAAACTTAAATAATTTTCAATTTTTTTGTTTTGTCCCTCCCGTTTTGATGCAAAGCATAATTAAAAAATTTTGTTAAGGTTTTTTATGTTTATTTCTTTATAGTTTCTGTGTGGCTTTTTTTTAAGCTTTTTAAAACTTGCAGATTTTATCACAAATATTTAATAGCAGTAATTTTTGTTATTTCTGGATTTCTTTGTTTTTATTTTTTAATGATTAATGGTGAATAAATAGCTTGATGAATAATGATTTTTCATTTTCAACTTCTTCATCACACGTTAATGATTATATAACCAATAAATCTACTTCTAGACGGCGAAATTTAATGAATGTTTCTCCACCAAATCAGTTTAAAATTCAAAAGAATATGATAGATGAAGATGAAATATTTAACGCCGAAGCTGGAGTTTCTCCGCAAAAAAATTTTTTTGATTATGCGAATATAACAGAGCTTGGACAAAATATTGACATTTTTAAAAATGGTAGGGCTCCGAAAAATCGACGCCCTACTTTTTCCGGATCAGGAGATGTTTTGCCAACTGAGTTTTCGGAGCTTGAGTATGACGAGTTCGACAAATTACCTCAAGACAAGCGTGAAAAACTGTACTTTATAGCTCAATTGAAACCATTCGTCAGCCCTGACAGTAGTATTGTGGATTACTTGTCCAGAATTGATATGTTAAAGGTGTCGAAATTAATGTCTTTGGGCAATGTGTTTAGAGATATGTTTGCAAAATACGGAAAAAACGAAGTTTCTGTCGACAGCTCGCGATCCAAAAGACGTCAGTCTACTCAGGAAGGTTCTATTCAAAATAAAAGATCGCGAAATCAATCCAATGATTTTGCTTTGTCAACAAGCAAAGCGAGTCCTTTTAATCGAAACGAAACTATTATGTTTAAGTTCAATAATTTTGACGATTATTTAAGCGAAGACGATTTAAGCAATAATGAATTGTCTATTAGTAAAAATATTGCTAATTCAGATCAAAGCCAAGAACTCATGCTGCGTAATCCTCAATACATGTTAGAAATGTTTCCTGGATCTTTATCGTTTTTGGCAGAAGTTCGCGAATCTCTGGTTTCTTTGGTTCAGGTCAAAAAGTTCTGTGTCGACAATAACATATTTCCGAAAAATGAGATTCCGGAAATAGGATTTCAAGCGTACAGTGACCAAACAAAGTTTGTAATTGTTATGAACGAATTTTACAATACTATGTTAAAGGCAGTTAACGATTACTGTGTTTTGAACCCATCCAGAGAAAGTCAGTTGAAAGAAATCTTTAAAGTAGATTGCCATATTCGTAAAGTACTTTTGGCAGCATCGTTTGATATCATAAAAACGGTTGTAAACCCTGGTATTTCATGTTTTTTACGGGATTTTTATTGCAGTCGAATACAACGTTATTTGGCAAATCCCAACTGTATTATTCAATTATCAGACAGCGCAAACGACATTTGGATCAAAGTAAAGACCCTCGAATCACTTGAATTATCAGAGGATGTCGAGTTGAATAAAGGGCTTTTAGATAGGCTATACGAATCAACAAAACTTTCGTGTTTGCTCGAGTCTCGGTCAAAACTTAATACTAATTTCCAAGAATTATTTAGCAACTACAAAAAAAGAATTGAAAGTAGATGCGAAGCATTGCTAGCACAAAACGACAATCTCTTATTTTTTAAAACGAGATCGTCTGACGCTGTTTCTGAGTTTTTGTCAAAAGTCTCGTACGAACTGCGTAAGTCGTTTATTAATAAACTTAATAAATCGCTAAGTTGGAGATATGAAAATCAAGGAAACCAATATGAAGTGATTGCGTTAGAATCCAATTTGTTCACGTCGCTTGCTTCAGGTAATGTAAAGATAAAACTGGATCAGGTCATTCCAAACTATATACAATCGGAGTTAAAGTTAAAAAACTCTGTTACTGATAAATCAGTTTTCGGGTCGGTTAAGGTTTCTCTTTTCATGGACGAAAAGCCTACCGCGCTTTTGAAAAATGTTCGAAATTCAATTTACGATCCGCAAAGCTACGAAGATGCGTTCACCAAGGGCTATGAAATTAAGAATTTGCTAAATTCAGAATTTGTGCTTATCTAAGAGCTAAGGACTAACTTATTATTAAATTCTTTGTATTAATTTGAATTATTAAATATAATTGAATGTAGTTTGTAGTACTCCATAGACATTGAATGCTCTGCATAATAATTGTTCTTAGTTGTGGTAAAGATTTTTATAGCAATACGTAGTTTTTTTTGGAACGCTCCTTAACTATGTAAAATCTTACTTTATATATGAATAAAAGTAGAAAAAACGTAAAGCTTAGTCATTGAATATATATTTGCTAATTAAATATTGATTTATTGCATCGGCATTCCTTGAAAACCATTATGGTTGAAATCTGTGAACGCCATTTGTTGCTGATTAGTTCTCTTGTTGCAGTGGTTTATAAGTTGTTCTGCTTTTTGCGTTAGGCGGTCATGCTTACGATCGTAAATAATCATTTCACATTGACGCAAAATACCCGCGTTATCTATCGCGTTTATAAACGGATTGTAAGGTAAATTCGAGTCGAATTTCACTTTGTCACCAATCGCGATGATTCGAATGAGAGCATCGAGCACAACGTTCATCAAACTACTATCTAAGCAGTTAATTTCTTTGGAAAAACATTTAAGAACGTTGATTTCAAACAAATACGCTATCTGCTCTTTTGTAGCGCTGGTACATGCGTTGGATAAAGCCCAAATGGCTTCTTTTCTAATATCAAAGTTACTGTCGTAACAAATTTCCACTAGTTTGGGGAATACGTTTTTATCGATAACAAGTTGGATTTGTTTAGTGGATCCAGCTGTTATGTTACTAATTGCCCAACATGCTTCTCGTCTAACTTCTTTTTTAGTTGAACTCAACAAATTCTTGAGAGGTTCAATGCAATCTAAGTTTAACAATATATCAGTTTGCGAGTCGTTTCCGGTTAATAAAGTTCCTAATGATCTTAAACAAGCTGACAATGATATGTTTGGTGGGTCGGTTTTGAGATTAGCTATAATTTTACTCGCTAAGCCCGATTTAATATAAATATTGATAATTTCGTTTTGTTCCCCACTAAGAAAGCTATCTAAGATATAAAACGTAGACCATGAACTGTCACTCAATATTTCTTGATCAACAGAGACTAAAAACTCGTTCAAAATATTTATCCACTGATTTAGATCAGATGGTTTTAAATACTTTGCACTTCGGGTGAAATTGGTCAGTGTCCATACAATAATCCTTATAATAAACAACGTATTGTTCGATATTGGAAGCTGGTTACGTAGAACTTGAAGAATTGCAGAAGGAAACCCTTGGTTAATAAGTAGCTTTCGACACTTGTCACAATCACCAGCGACATTACCTACAAACCAGACGACCTGTTCAACAATGGTTATTACCTCGTGTTGCAGAAGCTTGTACATAGGAGTTAGCACGCCTGCATTTAATAGTTCAGTAACCTGTGAACATGATCCAGAAGCAATGTTTGTTAAAACCCAAGCTGCCTCGAACAGTATATCAGTAGTTTTAGTGGGATCGTCGATAAGATTAATTACGGGCCTGACAAAGTTGTTTCTGATAAACTCAGCGATTGGCGGGTCTTGTGGACAAGACAAAGCGATTCTCATTTTGTTTATCACATCAAACTGATCTTCATTGTTGTTTGATAACAGCTTTTGCATGGTCATTGGATCTGAAAAAAAAACGTCCGGAATCTTGGATTCATTGTCGTTATCTGTCTGGTTGACATAAACGTTGCTTTGTCCTTGAGCTTCAGACAACAAAGAATTTTCATCCATCTACAATTTTTCATCGAATATTACTTACATTGTTACGTTTCTTTGTTAGTTCAGCGTCTCTGATAGTTTTACGAATTCGGATTTGTTCTTCAACTCGTCTAGCATTAGGGTCGCTTTTGGACGCCTTGTAGTCCTTTTGTCTACCATAACGACGTTCGTCCATAAATATAATTATTAATTCTGTTTTTCAATTTTTAGAATAAAAAAATCAAACCATTTTGAAGATTAATAAAATTTTCCTGCTTATTTAATTAAAACAATCTATAAATTTAAATACCTAAAAAATTAACAGCAAAGTGTTGACAATTGTTGCGGTCAATGTCGAAAAAAAAAAATTTTCCGTAATCAAAAAAATTAGTTACAACACAAACTTTTGTTCCATTTTCCAGCGTCATGGTGGTCTCCTTGAGGGTATATAAACTGGCCTGTACAACTACAAGATTGGGAATATCTTCATCGCGGAGATAAAAAAGATCTCTTTCCGTTGACGGATAGATAGGAATAATTGATGCGTCACACGGGATAATCTGTCTCGATGTGAGCATGTTGTTCACTATGTCTAAGACGCTAAGATTTGGGAAATATACAGCAAGAGTAGCTACTATCTTGTCCGGTAAAAAAAGTATTTTATAATTTTGATCTACAGTGAGGATAGCTGGAGACGTCAACCGGAATAAGTTACTTAATATTTTAGCTGAATTTGGAAAAGCCATTATCGGCATTGGTTGGAACGGTAGCATGGACAATGCGTCATGTTCCGCAGTTGAACTTACGAATACATTAGTGTATATAGCAATATATCTAATCAATTCAAATATTTCAGACTGCAAATTAATTTGTGCTTCTTCAGTGTTTTCACTAATTTTGAGTGCAGCTAAGTTTAAGTAAAAGTAGACGAAATTCACATCTTTGATATTGCAAAGAAGGGCATCACGCAATAAGTTCAAACTGAGTAAGTTAATTTCTTGTTTCCCGGTAGCAATTTGTTCCAAATTGACTATTATAAATTTGTGAGAACGACCAGGGGTAGGACTGAATGACGGTTTAGAAACTTCAGGAAAAGCGAGCTTATGAACGGAAAATGTTCCATTTGGCAAGAATTTACCTAAAACTAGCAACACGGTTCCTCTGGTTGCGTAGTTCGAAAACTCTTCTTTATTTTCTATTAGCAGTTTTACTTTCGCACTGTCATCTTCAAGAAACACATTTTCAAAATTAATGTGAAAAGTACTTTCTTCTTTAGAACTTGGTTTCAGTATCCTTTCACTGTCTTCTTTTAAAATGTCTCGATCTAAACTGGTGGAAAGATAAATTACGCCAAATATGGAAAAACAACCATTTGCTTGCAGCTTGGAAACTTCGCGGAAAGGGTAATCAACGTTCTCATAAATTACTTTGTAATAAATCCGTTCTAAGCTGTGCAAGCCGCTTTTAAAACCGTGATGGAAAATTTTCCCAAAATCAATCTTATCGAGATAAAAATCTTTAGAGATGTTTATCTCTGGATTCAAAGTGGCATTTGACATGTTGATATTGTTCCTGCAAGTGGGCAAAACCTATTCAGAATTCATATTTCCAAACGGGAATATTGATAATTCCCAACAAGTAACACTTAGGTTGAAAGCTGTAAACACCAAAAGCAATGAAACCTAGCTGACTGGTATTTATTGCTATTAAAAAATTTTTTATTTTAAAATAAGATTGGGATTTAAGGTTGCATTTAGTTTTTTTTTCAAATTTTCTATTTTATCTCTGTTGAGAAGGTTGTTTAGGATTGCGTTTTGAATTAAAAGAGACTCTGTAATGGGCTGGCTGTGCTGGATGCTATCAACCACAAACTCATAGTTTTTCGGAATATACTTGAAAGTCGCAGAAGCGTCTTGATTTTGGTTATTGAATTTTAATATATTACTGAATGAATATTTATCATGTCGTGGGTCGCTAGCGTCGAGTTTTATGGGTTTGAGTTTCAAACTCATTTTGTCTAGCCTGTTGCGGCTGTGTTCAAACATGTGGTTAAAAGTTATGTATCTGGTTAGCTGCACATATTTCTGAATAGTTTGATCAATCTGGGCTGTCGCCTGCGAAAATTTATTTTTTTGTTGTTCTCCGTCATTATTCATGAAAACTGTAGTTATAATTAAAGTATATATTTGTGTTTAATAAAAACGCGTTTAGGGATATATAACTGTATTAAGACAACATTTTTGGCTTATTTTCAATTTAAAATTTCAGAAAAAAATACGACAAAAACGTGAATTAATAAGAAAAAAAAATTAACTCACAGTTGTAAAAATGGTAAAACACAACAAAGCTATTGATTGTAACCAGTTTAAAAAGGACATTCATCCTTTAATCAAAACTTGGTTTAACCAGCCAGCCAAAAAACTTCGAAGAAGAAAGGTTCGTCAAGAAAAAGCCCGACTTGCAGGTGAAAATGCCCTTATTAATACGCTTAAGCCATTTGTCAACGCTTGTGGTCAAAAACACAACTACAAACTCAGAGCTGGACGTGGTTTCACTCCTGAGGAACTCAAAGCAGCTAATTTAACGATCCGAGGCGCACGATCCATTAGAATCTCTGTCGATTTACGTCGTCGCAACAATAATAAAGAATGCTTCGAGCGAAACGTTGAACGCTTGAAGAGCTATCTCTCCAATGTTACTTTGGTTACTGCTCGTGTAAATCCCGTTCAGAACAAAGGAGGTGTTCCTGTTTCTTTTCCTTACTCGCAAGTTGGAAAACCATCAGAAACCATCGTTAGACTCTCCAACAAACCATCTAGGACTTCCAGCGTTTTGGTTGCTTAAATACAAAACGTTTGCTTGTCTGAGAATTATATTTATTAGTTTTATATGCCCTTTATAAATTGGTACCAATCGTTATAGAATATAAATATTAATTTTTTTTCAATAACCCAGGTATGTTACTGGTTAACATATTTTGATAGCTTTGATCAATTAACCTTTCACCAAGCATGTAAAACAAATCTGTAAATCAGTTCGTCAAGGGAGACTTACCTGGCACTGCTGTTAAAAAATTCTTATTAATTTTTTTCTCGTCTGCTTTTTGAGCAAGCAACTGTGTCTAGCAAAAAATAAAAAAATTAATTACTTACCAATGTGTCGACTAAACAATTATAATACCCCAGTTTGAGCTTGCTGAAGTATCCGCCGTATAAACACTTGTATCCGTCGTAAAGAACTGAGCAATGGGCCATTTGCATAAATGCTAAAATAATGTAGATCGTCGTACTTACACATTTTTTTTGAGTCTAAAGGTTGATAAACCCGACAACGATAATTGATTACGTTGAACGGATATAATAAAGTCAGTGTGATATTGTTAATCAAATGGGTTTTTACTGTTTTCGAAACTATTTGTTTGGTTTCGTTGTTCTCGTTGCCCGGTTTAGATGTCTGAGAAATTTTCATCAGCTTGGCTAGTTTATTCTTCAGATAAATATCGCATATCACCAAAGAAGCAGATCGAATACATCCTGAAAAAAATCCTTTAATGCCTTCCGACTTGTGTATTTCTTTAGCAATTTCTGCAATGTTTTTTTGCTTTGGCTCTAACGCCAATAACTTTGGCTTGCCATCATCACTCTTGGTGTATAGCTTCGGAGTATTTTTGTTTTTTAGTTTAAGTATTTCCATGTAAAGAGAACTTGATTTTGGAATGCCTGACACTAGATTAAGCTCTTTGCTTGCTTTTGACAAATCAGTCAAATACATCCAAGGATAGAATAACAAAGTATAAGCTACTGGCGTGTATTGATTCCAGGTTTCGTACATTAGTTGCTTCTTTATCTTAATTATCTGAGCAGTACTAAAAATTTAAATAATTAATAAATTTAAAAAACTGTTTTTCTATTGCTCATTCCTTATATTCTCAAGATTATCATAGGCGATTGTCAATCTTAACAGTATTTATGTTTTGCCGACAACCATATTTTGTTTAGTTGCCGAATTATTGAGCACAATGTTAATTAAAGACATAAAAGAGAATGTCTCTTTAGCTAAAAGACTGAATGACAAGCATTTAATTCAAAATCAAATCTCAAAAAATAAGCTAGCGTCGATCATTATTCAAAAATACGTCAGACGTTATCTCACAGCTCGCTTATTGACGATTAACTATTGGTTAGCTCTTGAATCTAAAAATTCCGAATACAACTCTCAAGATTGCCAAAAATTCATTTTAGGTTTTAATTTAATATCAAACATAAAACCCAAATCAGCATTGTACATTAGAAAAATATGTGATTACGAGAAAAAGTTAGAAACCCAAAAACAAAAAGCATTACTTTACCAGTATAATACTTCAGTGCTATATAGACAAATTTTTTCAAAAGGTTGTTGTTCATTCAATGCTCTGCCTATTGTCATTATTGCTGCCGAGGATTTTGTTTTTCAAGATGTTGAACTCAGAACTAAGATCTTGCTACAAACAAGTCTAACCAATAATTCATTATGTATAAATAGTTTAGTGTGCAATAATAAAAAAACCTATATTACGCTTAATAAAGAATATTATTTGTTGGAATGTAATAATGCAAAAAAGTCTGAAACCATCATTCCCCCTTTTTGGTTAGAAAAGATTAAATTTTTGTTGCATGGGATATCCAATTATGTAAGTAGAACTAAGCTTTCTCTCGATCTACTTGAATCTTTAGTTAGACTGTTTCTTTATTTGTTTGTCGCGGTCGAAAAATATAATTTCTTATTGTTTAATTATAAGAGATTTTTGTTTAACGTTGATTTCAGCATTTTTCTAAATGAAATAACTGAGTCTTTAGAAAACTTTGTGATTATAATTTTCTCAAAATATTTACTGGACAGAAGTGTCTGTGTATCAAATGCAGATAGTTTTCTTGTTTCTTCCATATTTAGACAATTTTGGACGAGACTGGGTTTTGTCAAAACTGTTCTAGGATCAAAGAAAATTTTAAGTCGAATAAATATTACTGAATTTTTTAGGCAATTTGAAAATGCAGTAAAACTTGAGTTGGAAGCCGGTTTTGAACCAAAAACGTTTAAAAATATTTGTCGTGACTGGCTGGTATTCGGATTTGCTACTTTTATCAATGATGCAAACAAAAAACTTGAGTTTAACTTAGAATTGTCGATGTGGATCAAAATTTATGTGAAACCTTTCTTAAATCACGTTATTATTTTCGATCAGTTACTAAAACCGGTTTATAGTTTAAACGAATTTATCAATTCAAACTCGTTGGAGGACGCTAAATTATCAATAAATGGTATGTTGAATATATTGAGATATTTATTAAATGAAAATCTTGAAGAAAATCAAGGTATTATTTTATTACTTTTAAAAAACATAACAATTTTAAAAGCACATAATACTTTTGGACCAGTAAACAAAGAGATCGAAATTTTAATTACATCAAGAGAAGTTTCGGACTTTTTTTCCACGCTGAAGTTTGACATAGGTGAGCACAATGAAAGCTATGACAATCAAATTAAAAGATTATTTCCGCTATTAGTACCATTAAAATTTTACCTACGAAATGCATGGAAAACTGTCTTTACTGACACCAACAATATAAAAAGTTTTTCGGACAAAGCTCCAAAAAACAACTTTAATCAACTGATAATTACTAAAATAGTTCATAATCTTTCGGTAAATTTACAAAAGCACGCTTTAGATTTTCACTCTAATGAAAAACCTTACTGTTACGTATTTGTT